CATCATCATCTAATCAATCAGAATCAAATATCAAACCAAGCAATAAAACAAATGCACTTAACCTTAGCGAAAATGAATACATTTCGCTATTTGATGTTATTGAAATGCCTAATAATGATGATTCTGATACCAATGATTATAATAGCGATGATTATGATAGTGACGATTGTACTAATGAAGAAAATGAAAATGGCAAATCGGTTATTGGAAAGTAGACTCAAGAAGATGAAAATGAGGAACCTGAAGAATTAACCATGACCTCTTATAACACTATTAATTTACACAAAAATCATCTAGCCGAACACCAAGAATCGAAGATTGAACTTAGATACCTTTTTACCCGCACTTTAGCACAACTGTCATTTGTTTGTATCCTTCAGCAAGATGTTGAAGTATCCGCTAATAATTAAAATTTTATTTTTTTTGATATTTTATGTAAAACAATGGTTGTTTTTTGTTAACTTTTATTATAATAAAGAACTTGTACTAGTATTATATCTAAAAGATCAATGTATAACTTTTTACACAGTAATTAGAGTAAAAGCTTTTTAGTAATACTGATTAAATTATCGCTGTTGGTTTATGACCTGGTTATACAGACCAATTTGACTGTAGTCAAATTGGTCAAATTGTTCTGTGTAACAAGATTATTGGAGTAAATTATCGCCATTGGGTTATGACCTGGTTACACAAACCAATTTGACTAATTTAACCGTAGTCAAATTGGTTGAATCAGTCAAATCGGTATGTGTAACAAGATTATTACTCAATTTGACCAGTATCAAGATGCTTCGACCAGACCGGTCATTGGTCAAATTGGTCTGATCAAATAGTCAAAATGGTCTGGTCAAGCCAACACTGATTATTATGATGTAATTGCTGATAAATTATTATATCGAAATGTATATAAATAAATAAAACTGTGTGAAAATAATAATCGTGTAATAACTTCGATCATAGCTAATATCAGTATGACAACTACCAACGAATTTATTAAATATTTAGCTCGCAAATATCCTAGTAATTATTTGAGAAAATATTAATGCAACTTTCATTTTTTAAATATTCTGAGCTAATTAGCTGTGCCATATATTATTGAGTCGTTATTAGTTAATAATCCAATCAATCAATTAATAATCCAATCAATCAATTAATAATCCAATCAATCAATTAATAATCATTATTAATTATTAATAATTCAGGAGGTTCCATCTCATCCCATATCAGTATTATTATAATTAGCCAACTGATAAACCTATACTAATATGTGGGCTAAGTGCTGGAAAAAGGAACCAAATTGACAATTTTTTCAAAGCTATTTTTTTACATAAATTGATTTAGAATAAGATTAGAATCATTTCTTATTTAAGACACAAAAGTAGTTGTAT